TTGAAATCCTTCCAGCCTTGTGGTAATTTCTCAATTAAGGCTGCAACTTGGAAGGATTCACTGAGAGACATGCCTTCTGCGTGAATGTCATGCAGAATGAGTTGGAGATCTTGAACTTGGCTAATCACAGTCTTAGAATCAACCATCACAAAGTCCAAGAATTTGCCAACCACAAATTTCTTTGAGCCAGCATCTTCCGTTTTGTACTTTTTCTCCAAAGACTCCCAAAGTTTCTTTACTGTCTTGATAGGACTATAGACGTTGTATTATATGTTGTCAAGTCCATTCAAGATGTAATTCCGGCAAAGGAAATCAGCATGTTTCCAGGCATCAACCGCAGCAACTACTTGCCGGTTGGTTTCATCCTCTTTCAAAATAAGAGCATCCTCATGAAAAAAGCGTGCCAGGTTGAGAGTAGTAAGATAGAACAACATTTTGCGTGAATGTCATGCAGAATGAGTTGGAGATCTTGAACTTGGCTAATCACAGTCTTAGAATCAACCATCACAAAGTCTAAGAATTTGCCAACCACAAATTTCTTTGAGCCAGCATCTTCCGTTTTGTACTTTTTCTCCAAAGACTCCCAAAGTTCCTTTGCTGTCTTGATAGGACTGTAGACGTTGTATAATGTGTTGTTAAGTCCATTCAAGATGTAATTCTAGCAAAGGAAATCAGCATGTTTCCAGGCATCGACCGCAGCAACCACTTGTCGGTTGGTTTCATCCTCTTTCAAAATAGGAGCATCCTCACGGAAAAAGCGTGCCAGGTTGAGAGTAGTAAGATAGAACAACATTTTCTGTTGCCATCTGTTAAAATCAGTTCCAGAGAACTTCTTTGGCTTCTCACCATGATTTACCGGTACGGTTACAACAGGAGAGGGGGTTGGTGCAATTGTAGCCACCACACTAGTACTTGTTTGGGCATTAGTTTCAGTAGCTATGAATTCTAAATTATAAAACAAAATTAGAATTATAATTTATACTACACAGAAAATTAATCCAAATTCACAGTATTAAATTCTGTAAAAATAAAAGAAACAACAATATAACTTTTATTTTTCAATTAATTTAGAAATAAAATAAAATTTTATTTAACCTAATTAATTCCACACAAAAAATTAAATTTATGTAACACGAATTTATTTTAAATTAATAAACACTCAGAAATTATTTAAGAAAACCAAAATTAATTTCTGACAAATTTCACAAATAAATATCCTGAATTGTTAATGACACCAGTATATTACTACTAGTTGTCAAAGAAAATAGACAATATATTACTACTATCTGTCAAACAATATATTACTACTATTTGTTTTTCAACCAGAATATTATTTTGTAAAATCACAGAAAATAATTTTTGTAAGAAGAAGAAAGAAGAAAGGAAATAAACGAAAAATTCTGTAAACAGAATAATTTGAATCTGTCTTAAGATTGTTGGAACAATCTTCTGTGTACAATAAATAAATCTAAACAAAATCAAACAAATAAAATGAATAACGTACCGAATTTATTCTAATCGAGCTGAATGAATATTTAAAGACCAAGTCGAGTGTGTGACACTTTATTCTTAAGACAGATTCGCCCCGCTACGGTACTTACGTTTATGTGGCGTCTATCTCCCAGGATACAATGATCTTCACAAATTTGTAGTAACACTCCAAACAAATTTGTTCAGCGAACTAAAACCTAGTGTTCTATAACTCTCTGAAATTTTTCCTAAAATAATATGAAGAATAAAGGATGCAAGAGAGCAAAATGAAGGCAAGAAAAATGAATTTTCGGAATGAGAGACTGCTGGAAAATGGCATGCTATTTATAGACCTAAATAGGTTCAATAATTCAAACTGAACGTGTGGAATTTGAATCCAACAGGTGCAATATTTAAACTAAATAGATACAACACTGTTTCAACAGATAACTGCTGGGCAGTTAAATCTGTTGAAACTGCAGTAGTTTAAAAACCTGTCTGAAACATTTTGAATCTGTCTGGCAGTTTGAAACTGTCCGAAAAATTGAATCTGATGAACCTTAGTTTGAATCTGTTCAATCTGCCTAATAGATATGCAACTGCTTTGAACAGATACAATTCAAAAAACTGGACAAATTTGCAAAACTGCTGGACAAATTTGAATCTGTCTGGGCAGTTTTGTAACTGTTCAACAGATGGGAAATTTAGTGGAATTCATATATGAAAAGAGGCACAAATATTAGACAAAATTTTGAATTTCAAATTCAAATTTGGAATTAAATTCCTACAATAATTTTTGAAAAAATTCAAAAAAATTTTGTCCAAAAAATTAATATTAGAACCGATACGACCCACAACCTATACCTGCGCCTGGCAACGTGCGTGGTGGTTTGGGCTAAGGTTTTATTTGTCCATAACTCCTCCCTTCTACAAACTTGGGGTGCCCCTTGGGGCCCAACCCAAGTATTGTACTCTAGAGATTATATACCCACAAAATCTCTCTTAAAGTTTCAATGTGGGACAACCCATTTCAAGAAACTCACATTTACTTCTTTAAATTTCTCATTCCACGAACTCGAAAACGACGTCAACTCCCCATTCACTCATAAATGGTTTTGGCGAACCGTCTTTATCGTGTGACTCACCATGCGGCAAGGAACACGTTACCTTTTTTGGACCCACCCCAAAAGGCGTTTGGGGCCCACTCAATTTTGGGCTCAAAGTTGGCCCAAAATAAGCCTTTATAAAACCAATTTTCCAACATTTTCATCCTTGGATTTTACAAGCCCTTCACAAGGCAAGTACATGAGGTAAAAACAAACTTACAAAAGTGCAGTAAAATATTTTGATCAAAAGCCTCGCCGTGAAGTCGTCAACCCTCTCCTACAGTCCTCACACTAACATATAGCATGTAATGATCATTTTAGAATCAAAATTTGCAGGCATCATATAAGAAAAATTGGTACATATGGAATCGAACACTTCAATTTTGGTATCCTAATTTCCATCAAGAGGAAGTAACGGTGATGTTGATATATTAAATACTCCTAGCCATAGTTGTCAAATCGGGATTCGTATCGTGAATCGAAATGGTCTCGTATTAAATTGCCAATTGAATTGAATCATGAATTGTAAAGATTCGGTCACTTTTTTTAAATTACTTAAAAACATATATCTACACATTTAGATGTTAAATATATCTTATAAATATGAAATAATTAGACTTAAATCAATGAAAATGTTATTTTGAATGATAATCACGTAGTTTAATAGGTAAGAAATTAATAAAGGTTCCTATGTAAGATCATTATCTTACCTTTTTTCTTTTTTAGATATTTCTTTTCAACCATTCTTAATAAAGATAATAACCAAATAGACAAATTATCAATTTTCTAGGTAACAATAATTAACAATAATATTGATATTTGGATAATAAGTATATATACTTTTCTAAGTAACAATGAGCAAATAATAAAAAAAAAAAATTATTTAGCATCTTTTATTTTAAAGCGTAAAACATTTAAAAATGTATAACTGACCTTACACATGTAATATTCAATTTAATAAAATAGCAATAGATAATTTATAGTATAACTTTAATCTTAAATATCTTTAGAAGATATATTACGTTTTTTAGGGGGGAAATGAGAAGAAATGTTAAAAATATTTGGGTCTGACTAAATTTAATTAGATTCTATTAAAAACTCCCTGATCACTAAAATAACAATAAATCAAGTATATGTGCTGGTTAACTTGGTATTAAATGCTATTAGAAGTTATATTATGTCATTTTCACTAAAAAGATGGAGAAAAAAAATTGAAAATACGTCCGACACAATAATTTTAAAAATAACATGAATCGTAAAAAGTAAATCGAATCGTGAATTGATTGTGAATCGTGCGATTCACTTCCAAAATAGATTCACCCATAAATTTGTATCAATTTTGTAAAAATTGTGAATCGAATCGCGAATCGTAAGATTCTGATAACAGAGTATTTGAGAGAGAGAGAGAGCATGTCTGTGTGTGTGTGTGTACATTTTGAAGAATAAAAATTCAGAGAAAAAAAAGTGATTACAAAAGCAAGACTTGCTCATTTTCAAAATGGTAACAATACTGCAAACACAATCCATTGAATCTCCACATGTGAACTTTCTACTTCAAAAATATTTCTAGAAAGCCTAAGAGAGCACTTGGATTTATTCACCACCTTCCCATTCAATGAACAAATAACAGTTCAAAGCTAAGGTACATTGGCTGGAATAGCATTAGCAGCCAAGCAACCATATTCCATGAGTTTTACCAAAAATTTGCATACAATTTCCCTTAAACTAGTAAAAGATGAAAAGCAAAGCATAAATATTCAAGTAAAGTACAGATGTACAATATGCAATAACATATCGAAGCAGACCTCAACGCCTGAGTCAATCTTTCGCTTCTTCCCTTTAGCTACTGCAATAATATCCAAATATCCAAATAATTTACCTCTCCCAAAATATATATATATATATATCCAAATAAAAACTAAATTTAGTTAAAGCATGTCTTTCTAGAATAACCACTTGGAAAGATAGACTCCAAAAAAGCAATGGCAGCCACAACATTCAAACTTACATATATGCAATGTGATTGCATGAAATTAAGGGGCAACATCCAATGCTTGCATAAAATTAAATTTAACAGCAGTATGGAAAATAGCAAACGATGTCAATAAGGTAAAGCCAAGAACAACCAAAGTAACCAAAAAGATTTCCATAGGAAAAAGAAAAGAAAAATGGAAATGTAACCATGTTTGAATGGATGATAGTTAAGTTGTTTACCAACATAGAAGTGTTTCACAATGTGAATGCGATAGGTAAATCACTAGGCCCAAAAACTTGAGCCGTTATGAAAGTGAGGGACGTACCACAGCCTGATATATCGAGCTGGGCCTATGCTATACCCTACCTACACAACCACTCTACTGCAAAACTTGTAGGTGAATGGGCCAAACAATGTATATCAAGCACTAACTGTTTTTGCACCTCGGACTGTATAGCTTGGGCATTTACTCCCTCACTTCCAACTTCTAATAACTAGTAGCAGATAATAGAATAATATATGAAGAGTACAATAATTACTTTTCAAGGCAATATACTGCACTTTGGGGTGATTCTCAAAGGTTAGATGCTTCAGATACAAGGGATTCTCAGAACTGAAAAGTGTGGAGCCATGGACCCTCAGATTTGGGGATATGACCACATGAACACAAGGATTTAAGACTGGCTCAAGTATAAACACTTCTTTTAGGCTTATAACAGGAAAGGGTCCTAATAATGACAGCCCTAAGGGCTGTCTTTAAGAAACACAAAATGTCAAAATATTTATAATCCCAATACACTTTTCACATATCCCAAAATAATTTTACATATTTTTATACATTTTTTACAAATTTTCCAACACTAACAACAGCCCTACGGATTGTTTTTAGCATTTTCCAACAAGAAATTATGCCTCACTTTCCTCCTGTACATTCTACTGTTTACATATGTACAATCTGCAAATTCAACTTTCACATCTACAGAGATGTTTTAATGTGCTTCAATCCTTCTTCCATATCATATTCACTAAAAGCAGTCTTCTAATCAGAGTAGAGGCCTCCTGATAATAACAAATATTTTAAGGAGAATACAATTTCACTCAAATACAAATAGTTTCTTAACAAGAAAAATATTGCCCAACTGAAATCTGCTAGGCTCAACATTTTGTCTCTATATCATCTTTTTTTGAGGTTGAGTTTATTAAATCAGTAAATAAAATTTGCCTAGACTAAGTAAATATGCAGAAACAGTGAAGCACACATTCCCTCATTTCAGAACTATTCTCTGTGACTTATAAATATGCATGCACAAATAGCACCATAAGGAGACTGATGTAGAAGACCGAACAGACAAATACCTCAATCATTTAACTTCAACCAAAACACACTAATGGTATTAGAAGAAAACAAGTATCATTTATTATCATGGATAACTTACATGAAGAATTCCCAAAAATATATCTCCAGGTCTTGTACGATTTAATATTTATGTAAAGTGCAATTTTTAAAAAGTACAAAAATAGAACAACTGTAATGGTATTAATCCAAGTTTAACACACTATTGAAATTATATGCTTCCACATTATCAACAACATATTGTATGCAAACTACTTTCATTTAACTGGGTAAATAATTACACATGACTATTAGGTACAACTACAATACTATTGCCATTATAAACATCGGAAGGGTATAAATCACAGCAGAGATAATCAACTGAGCCAATTAAATGTTAGCAGTTAGCTTACTCTATTTCCAGAAAAAGACAAAAATGCAAACTATTCAACAATTACATTTTATCTAAAACAAATGAAATTTTTTTTTCTAAGTTTCACCAAGAGAGAATAGGCATCGGCATCAATAGTGGGAGTTTGTATCGACCCCTTCTTGAGAATATAGCCTGAAAACAAAGTAATTAATGTCTAAAGAAAAGGAACAGCTGCAAATAATGCTTATCAAAACCTGACCCTAGGCTGGCTACTTGGACCAGTGAACCAGCAATCCAACCAGTCAAACCAGTCGTGTAACTTATTCGCACCAGACTTACCTGCTTTACATCCAAAACTATAAAATAAAAACATAGCAGATATCTTCGAGTAGCATTATATAATTTTCAATATATCAGTCATTCATAAACTGGACTGTTCAGCCAACTCAACCAGCATTTGAAGTGGTTAGACCATCACTAAAGGGTTGTTTAGGGTGTCCTAAATAAGTGCATTTTTTGTCTTTTTAGACTAAAAAGTTGAGGGAAAAAATATGGATGTTTGGGTTAACTTTTTGACTTTTTATGGAAAAATGTGTATTAAAAAATTGTATAAATTAGTGTGTAAGGGAAAATTAGGATTGAGAGTTGTGCAGCCGTAATTTTTTATTTTTGGTGAATAGTAATAACTTTTTAACTTTTTGAGTAACTTTTTGACTTTTTGCTTTTTTTTACACTTCCCAAACTTAGCCTAAGTTGAAACGGAGGTCAATGCAGGTCCAATTCCCATAACCACAATGATGATGACAACAAGGATGATAATCATGAAGGTTGTGGCAGACAATAAAGCATAATAACGCAACTATTGAGGGAAACAATAATTAGTTGAAGTTTAAACAAAACAAACTGAAGAAAATTTCCCTACCATTGTTCTTCGTATCCTCTTTATCCACTTTTGCCTCTGCAAATTCATTTAAAAGATTGATGATATCAACAGATAAAATGATAAGAAAATGCCGAATATAAAAGTCAGATTTGCTACATGCCACTTCAGAAAGAAGTAAGGGAATTGGGAACTGAGTGACAAGATGGTTTCTGGATGAATGCTGATTAAACATCCATTCATCCTACTAGTGACACAATGAAAAGGCACAAATTCACAAGTTTCCTATACAACTAACATATTTGACTTTGCAGAAGTGCAATTTGCGGAGTACAAGTTAGATAACGGGAAAGCTCCAAATTCAATGGTGTCATGATGATGGTCATCCAAGGGTGTCAATATATCATTGGAACAACTTATCCAATGAGAAAATTCACAACATAATTCTTTTTCTATAAGCAAAATTCACAACATAAAAAATCACTAGTGTAATTAAAACTTTTAGTAATGCCACTCTAGATTCTAGATGGCCATTAATATGGAGACTCTTTGAAATCATACCTTACGTCATAGCCAGTTTGTCTAAGCTAATCGTTATAACTCTATCTATCTCCATTGGTGCCTCTGCTGGCACAAGCATGTTGGTACTCAACTCCACCGAGCTTTAACCCCAACAATTTATGATCAACTACATGAAACCTGTCTAGCCACTATGCTAACATATTATCTAAGCCCTGATTAGTTTATGTCTTCCCCCGTTGCATTACACTCAATATGGAGTGCATCCATTTCCTTATGGTGCATTTTATGGTTTTGTTGCACATATCCAAACCACATTTGCTAGTTTGATCATATTTTATCTCCAATCGATGCAACTTCTACAATTTCATGAATCCAAGCATTCTATTTTTATCCTTATCATATCACACCATTGATGTAGAATGGCCTCCCATAGATTCCATCAAACACATGGTGGTCAAACAAAACTTCTTGATCCATTCTTTTATATGTTGATGAAATGATATACAGACGGGAAGAAAAAAAAAAGAACAAAAATTAATAACAAAAGAAAGGTAAAGAGGGTAGAAAAGGTCCAACATGACAGTACCACAAAAGTTATTTTATAGGTTATACTGGAGGAAAAAAATCTTTTATAGTCAACACTATGGGTAGATGGGCTATACACAAACACAGATAGATATGCACACTCACACACAGGCACACAGAAAAATCAGATGCAAATAAGCAATGTAAGAACAGCAATTTGAGCTCCTAAGCAACCATTGTTACGTCAAAGAAGAATAGAACTACCAGATGAGGCCTTTGGCTTAGTTTGTGCCGAACGCCCTGATTTTGAATTCTTGTCTACACCCTGCTTTTTGTCAAGGGCTTGCTGCTTCAAGACATTATCTTCAGTAAGTTCCATCAGCCGGTCCATGCCTACCCATTCATCCCAACTGTTGGCAAGATATCCAAGCTTTAGTAACTATTTCTCTTCACCTTTTGAAGATTGACAAAATTCAAATACAAACTTTACATCAACATCTTTTTGATGAAGTCAAATGGATTATATGTCATTATTGAACCAATATAGTATACAACCACTCACTCTTTCTATCATAATTTCAACTGTTAGTTCAGTGTTCAGAAAAATATGGCATATTAATCCCAAATCATGCATAACTAATACAGTATTGTTGGCCTGTTAGGAATTAGGATTTCTATGGAAAGTTGAAGAGAGAGGTGGTGTCCAACCAGCAAATAATAAAAATAAATAAACAAAAAGGTAAAATAGAAGACCTAAGAAGATGATAAAAAGAAAGAAGAGGACCAGTTTTAGAACCCTAAGATTGGGACAAGGAAAACCAACTGGGAAGGTGGGAAGAGAATGCATACTCACTTTTTATTCCAGCCCTGCAAAACATAAAAGTGTATTATCAATAGATGTTAATACACAAAAAGTACGTTATTTATCCTACCATATTAACCAAATTTGTGAAGCTAAAAATCTATGAGGTTAATAGCATTTAGTTACTGAAAGAAATATCTTACACAAATACCATGCATTGGTAATGGAAGTAAAGGGTAAAAGAAAAACCAATAACCAAACTTACAAGATAATGAACAAAGTATCTCCATTCCTTCTTTCGAAACTCGGCTTTTTGAACCTTCCCAAAAAAAAAATGCAGTGGATTTAGTTATGGCCATTACCAAAAATATGCTATGTCATGATATTAAACAAGGTTTTTTCCTTTTTTTATGAGCATTAAAAAGTACATTTAGTAGAACGGAGTTTATACAAGCAATTCAAATTGGAGCGGAAGGTAAATATAAGGTATGATTAGTATGGCAATTCTATTGCACTGATGCGAGACAAAATCCTGTTTTCAGCAACCTCAAAACTGAATCCACAACCCACAGGCATGCAAACACCTTCCGCTCATTAAGCATCATACAGAAACTGATAAAAGAATGGGCTGGCCAAAAAATGAAGTTCATAAATGCATGTTCACATCCTAATGGATAAAATCCAAATGTAACTTACTAGTCCTAATTACAAGTATGTTGATTACATTGAAAATAAAATGACAATTTAGAAAGCAAGGTTGTTAAAATCAGGATCCTAGGTAGGATCGGTGAGAAGGTCTCGTGGATTGGATCGAGGATCGTAAGATCCTACTTTCTATTAAAAATAAGAGAAAAATACAAATTAGAATGATGCATTCTTAAAATAAGATGAAAAATCACAAAATCTACAATCCTACCTATGATCCTACACAATACTACTTGCGATCCTGTTATTACACCAATCCTACAACAATCTGGATCGTTTTAACAATGTAGGATCGTACGATCCTACAATCCGGATTGCGATTTTAATAACCATGTTAGAAAAACATTATACTAGCCTGACAGACTAAAAATACACAAAGTAGCATTTTCAAACTATTAATTCAAAGGAAACCTTCGGGTATATTTCAGCACTGTATTAAATGCAAAATATTTTATTTTCACTAGACAGGTGAAAACATGATTTATAGTCAAGAGTCAAAAATCACTCTAGAAAAGTAGTTAGATACAACTAATCACAACAGGAGAAGGGGGAATGCAAAAACTGTCCAACTTTTGGGAACAGAAACAAAATCATTAAGGGGTATCCGCAGTCAAGTTAAAGCCTTACTTTTTGATCAGCCAAGTCGAAGCCTTGTTACAGATATCACTAGGTGAAAGTCCATTTCCTAGTACCCAAGAAACTATGCTGAATTTATCTTCTTCAATTCATGATTCACAATCAATTATATTCAGGATGGGACGAAACCCATGAACCAAACAGAGTAGTATTAATAACAAACACATGCTACCTTGCAATGGGTAAGACAGTGAATTCAAGGATCTTAACAACTGATTAAACAGAACTGAGTTTTATAATCTTAAAAACTAAGACAATGACACAATATACCACAGGATTTCAACTTTATACAACGAAGGAAAACAGGAGGAAAAAAATCAGGAGAGCGAATGAAAGTGCGTTAAAAAAAGGATGGTGTTTCCCTTCCAAGTTGATTGGTTATGTGGAAAGGAAAGGAAAGGAAAAAGTAGGAGAATGATTTAAATTTCCCTTATTTGTAAAATAAGTAAAACAAACCTAATACCATCTCCAAACCTTGACTCAAACCTATATTAAATTTAAATTTGGATAAAAATACTCAAAAACCTCTCCACTCCTTCACACAACACAAGCTTATATCAAAGTTTTATCCGTTTTTACACTCAAACTTTTCAAGACCATTTAGCATATTTCAAATTTACAACTTTGCCAACGCTAAAGCTTTTACTCAAATTTATGCTTAAATCTGAGTTTGTCCAATGGAGTGCTTCATATCAAATAAAGTTTTTACTAAATAAAAATTAAGCGCTGGAGATGAACCTCAAACCCTTAATTGACTTGACGATAATTGATGATACAAATCGCTGCGCAATTTTCCCCAATCAACAATTCCATGAAAACACACAAAGCAAAATTGCAAAGGAAAAGAAAGTCGAACAGAAAATGGATACCTTGGCTTCGTAGATGCGAGGGCCATGATAAGCGAGGACTTTCTCGCCTTCCGCGAAGATGCTGGAATTGGAGGCAGGGAGGTTGCCGCCGGAGTTGTCGGCGTCGGTGGCCGAGTCGTCCTTCGAGCTCCCCATTTTCTTGTGTTCCAGATTCTGTGAAATCGTTGGAGGGAGGGTTTCGGGGATGATGAGACAAAATTGGCCCTACTTCTTTCGTCTGTTCACTGGTACTGCACTGAACTTGAAGAAGGTGTGTATCAGAGAGAGAGAGAGAGAGAGAGAGAGAGAGCGCGTCTTTGTCGTGGTGGTGGAGGGTGTGTTTCTCACTTTGCGCCTGGTCCAAATGAAAGGCCCCCGATGGGATTTGAACTTTGGTTTCACATTTAGTAGAACGGAGTTTATACAAGCAATTCAAATTGGAGCGGAAGGTAAATATAAGGTATGATTAGTATGGCAATTCTATTGCACTGATGCGAGACAAAATCCTGTTTTCAGCAACCTCAAAACTGAATCCACAACCCACAGGCATGCAAACACCTTCCGCTCATTAAGCATCATACAGAAACTGATAAAAGAATGGGCTGGCCAAAAAATGAAGTTCATAAATGCATGTTCACATCCTAATGGATAAAATCCAAATGTAACTTACTAGTCCTAATTACAAGTATGTTGATTACATTGAAAATAAAATGACAATTTAGAAAGCAAGGTTGTTAAAATCAGGATCCTAGGTAGGATCGGTGAGAAGGTCTCGTGGATTGGATCGAGGATCGTAAGATCCTACTTTCTATTAAAAATAAGAGAAAAATACAAATTAGAATGATGCATTCTTAAAATAAGATGAAAAATCACAAAATCTACAATTCTACCTACGAAGAAAAAAATACAAATTAGAATGATACATATTAAAAATAAGATGAAAAATCACAAAATCTACAATCCTACCTATGATCCTACACAATACTACTTGCGATCCTGTTATTACACCAATCCTACAACAATCTGGATCGTTTTAACAATGTAGGATCGTACGATCCTACAATCCGGATTGCGATTTTAATAACCATGTTAGAAAAACATTATACTAGCCTGACAGACTAAAAATACACAAAGTAGCATTTTCAAACTATTAATTCAAAGGAAACCTTCGGGTATATTTCAGCACTGTATTAAATGCAAAATATTTTATTTTCACTAGACAGGTGAAAACATGATTTATAGTCAAGAGTCAAAAATCACTCTAGAAAAGTAGTTAGATACAACTAATCACAACAGGAGAAGGGGGAATGCAAAAACTGTCCAACTTTTGGGAACAGAAACAAAATCATTAAGGGGTATCCGCAGTCAAGTTAAAGCCTTACTTTTTGATCAGCCAAGTCGAAGCCTTGTTACAGATATCACTAGGTGAAAGTCCATTTCCTAGTACCCAAGAAACTATGCTGAATTTATCTTCTTCAATTCATGATTCACAATCAATTATATTCAGGATGGGACGAAACCCATGAACCAAACAGAGTAGTATTAATAACAAACACATGCTACCTTGCAATGGGTAAGACAGTGAATTCAAGGATCTTAACAACTGATTAAACAGAACTGAGTTTTATAATCTTAAAAACTAAGACAATGACACAATATACCACAGGATTTCAACTTTATACAACGAAGGAAAACAGGAGGAAAAAAATCAGGAGAGCGAATGAAAGTGCGTTAAAAAAAGGATGGTGTTTCCCTTCCAAGTTGATTGGTTATGTGGAAAGGAAAGGAAAGGAAAAAGTAGGAGAATGATTTAAATTTCCCTTATTTGTAAAATAAGTAAAACAAACCTAATACCATCTCCAAACCTTGACTCAAACCTATATTAAATTTAAATTTGGATAAAAATACTCAAAAACCTCTCCACTCCTTCACACAACACAAGCTTATATCAAAGTTTTATCCGTTTTTACACTCAAACTTTTCAAGACCATTTAGCATATTTCAAATTTACAACTTTGCCAACGCTAAAGCTTTTACTCAAATTTATGCTTAAATCTGAGTTTGTCCAATGGAGTGCTTCATATCAAATAAAGTTTTTACTAAATAAAAATTAAGCGCTGGAGATGAACCTCAAACCCTTAATTGACTTGACGATAATTGATGATACAAATCGCTGCGCAATTTTCCCCAATCAACAATTCCATGAAAACACACAAAGCAAAATTGCAAAGGAAAAGAAAGTCGAACAGAAAATGGATACCTTGGCTTCGTAGATGCGAGGGCCATGATAAGCGAGGACTTTCTCGCCTTCCGCGAAGATGCTGGAATTGGAGGCAGGGAGGTTGCCGCCGGAGTTGTCGGCGTCGGTGGCCGAGTCGTCCTTCGAGCTCCCCATTTTCTTGTGTTCCAGATTCTGTGAAATCGTTGGAGGGAGGGTTTCGGGGATGATGAGACAAAATTGGCCCTACTTCTTTCGTCTGTTCACTGGTACTGCACTGAACTTGAAGAAGGTGTGTATCAGAGAGAGAGAGAGAGAGAGAGAGAGAGAGCGCGTCTTTGTCGTGGTGGTGGAGGGTGTGTTTCTCACTTTGCGCCTGGTCCAAATGAAAGGCCCCCGATGGGATTTGAACTTTGGTTTCTGTGCTGTTGTGCCCCTCTTCTTAGAGTTCTTTTCAACTTCACCCCTTCTTCCTCCGTTCATCCCTCTTCTTTTTTTTTCTTTTTTTTCTTTTTTTATAGATAAAATACGATTTGGATAATTTTCGAGTGTGAAAGTCCTATTATGTTATTTATTTATATAATAATTTACAACATATTTTATGGGTTAATTTATATATATATATATATATATATATTTGTGTTAAGTTACGTGATTTTATGGGATAATTAACGTATATTTATGAAACTTTACATTAATTTATAATTTTTAAAATTTTTATAAGTTAATTTATGTGTATTTGTGTTTAAGTTAGGTAATTTTGTGAAGTGACTTATGTATATTTGTGAAAACTTATACTAAATTGTAATTTTTAAAATTTTTATATATTAACTTACGTGAATTTGTGTTTAAGTTTCTTGATTTTGTAAGATAATTTATGTATTTTTATAAGAACTAATGCAAGTTTGCATACCCTTGCACTTGACTTTTTAGCTATATTAGCCTTTCTAAAAAAATTCAGTTTGAGATAAATTTTTAATTTTTTTAGTAATTTTTTTAACGATATTTTTTTTTATTGATTTGATGGTTGTAATAAAAAAATAAAATAATTATAGTTTGATTGTGACATTTTATATCATTGATTAAGTTAAGGTGTCTCTATTTACGCACCACGTTTTATCTCCAAGCACATCATTAATTGGTTATTTTTTTATTACAATAATGACCTTATCTAAAATGACCAAAATGACCACAACTGAATACACACTTTAGTTGAATACACATCTAAACCCTAACCCTAGCCACCACTGCTGCAGCCACCGTCATTTCACTGCCGCTGCCTTGTCGCCCCTTTCCAGGTCCAGCGAATCCCCATCACCACAAGCCCTCGTTGTTGTCAACCTTTCTTCCCCCCTTCCGTCGCAATCATTAACCCAGAAACCCACTACCATGTAGATTGCGGGAGTACAGATTGCGATCGCGATCGTTTCTTTCTCTCTCTCTCTCTCTCTCTCTCTTAGAGTCGGAGGTGTGCCACCGGGGGGAGATGAGTAGCACGCGATCGCAATTGCGACGGTGGGGAGCTGGAAATCGCGATAATGAGAAACGGGGGTGAAGTATGAGGGCTAAGCAAGTCTCGCCAGAGGGAGATGAGGGCTAGGGGTGGTTCATCGGAGGGGGAAATGGCTGCTGAAGGTTCGCCAAAGGGCCTAGAGAGGGCAATAGGGTGGCGGCGATCAGCGAGGAGGTAGGTCTCTGCGAAGATGGAAGAAAGGGTTGACAGCGGTGGCCATGGTTGGCGTTGATGGTGGTTGCCGATGGCTGTTGCGGTTGGTGGTAAGTGTCTAATAGTTTTTTTTTTTTTAATTTCTTTTTTTGAATTTGAGGTGTGTACTAAGTGATGTGGACTAAGGGCAAAAATGGAACGTTGTGGTGTGTGTTGAGAAAAATTATGTTTTTTCAAATTATTAAAGGTATGAACAGAGTAGTGGTGTGACTTGAGACCAAATGTAGTGTGTAAATAGAGGCACCCGTCGGTTTCATTTGTTTGGCATTATTATCTAGCATTCAGTTCCAAACTACCCCTGCTATATTTGTATTTGGATACATCCATTAGCATGTACTCTCCCCTCTTTTTTTAAAAAAAAATTATTATTTGAAGGTTGAAACACAAATAAATTTTAAAATATGATCTTGTGAACTGTTTAATCATCTCTTTTTTCTTATGAACCCAAAGGTCCCATTAAAGTGGAAATTACATAAAAGGATAATCACTTTCATATTTGAATTTAATTTTTTAGGGATAAAAGTGGATTTCTCAAAATGTAAATTATGCATTTGGGCAATTTGCACTATAGAAGTATTGGATCTTCCCTCATTCTAGAACAAATCTCACGTTATGAACAAAAACCTAACACTTTAATGTAACACTCCAATAAAATAACACTTCAATGTAACACACTAAAAAACTTTTTGGTGTACTTTTCGCAAACGTAACAACGTAACACTAAAAAAAAAAAACTCTTTAGTGTACTTTTTACAAACGTAACGCTCCAATGTAACACCAAAAAAATTTTAAAAAAATTCCTAGTGTACTTTTCCCAAACGTAGCATTCCAATAAGTGTAATCCCAAATGTAACACTGCAATGTAACAAACAAAACACTAAAAAAACTCCTTAGTGTACTTTTTCCAAATGTAATACTTATAGTTTGAAATTATAGACTTACCCAAAACTTACTAAGGAATATTTTTACTCCTTTTGGAATGGTTTGAAGAATCTCACACATTTTTTTTTTTGTGTTACATTGGAGCGTTACATTTGGAAAAAGTATACCAAAGAGTTTTCTTATGTGTTACATTAAAGTGTTAAGCTAAGGAATTTTTTTGGAGTGTTATATTGAAGTGTTACATTTGAAAAAAGTTCACTAAATTTTTTTTTTTTGTGTGTTACATTAAAGTGTTATACTAAAAAATTTGTTTTGAGTGTTATATTAGAGTGTTATATTTGGAAAAAATAAACTAAAAATTTTTTTTGTGTGTTACATTAGAGTGTTCCAATAAGGAATTGTTTTTGTGTGTTACATTACAACGTTATATTAAGGAATTTTTTTAGAGTGTTACGTTTGAGAAAAGTACAGTAAAGTTTTTTTTTTTTTTTATGTATTGTATTAAGGTATCACACTAATATTTTTTTTTTTTTTTAGGGTTACTTTGAAATGTTATTTTGATTCGGAATCCATAGTGACCATTAACAAGGCTAAGACAGGTTGGCTTTAACTGATTTATAGGGTGTTTGAAACCGCTGCGTGCAAGTGAAACCCTAGCTCCTGACGAAACTAGGACAGGAAATCCTACCGCCACCTATAGGGGGTGTTTTGGCTCTCAATTTGCCTTTGCTATGTGCTTTTAGAGTTTGCCTCTACAAGGAATGCATGTATCAGTTTGTAAGTCGGGGTATCGCGCCGTGCATCATATCAAGTATTTTGAGAATAAGTTATATCTGGGGTATCAAGATTCAGTTTGGGCAGTAATTTGAGGGAGCAGTGTCACAGACGAATACAGTTAGCTCAGTTATGCTTATATCTAGTTCTGGTAAAATCAGCTGAGATCTGTCTATTTTCTCTTTTGCAAGGTGTTAGTGGAACTATAGCTTTAGAGGGCTCAATATCCCCGGTACATGATTCGTACTGATAGGACTTTGTCAGGCTTAGAGTTCAGTCAGAGCGCCAGTGTTTCCTTTGCCAGTGGTAAGGCAAGAAAAAGGCAATAAGCACAGATCATCCGTTCACAGTCCCTAGTTCAGCGGTCATTATCCACTCCACCTGTGCGCAGTTGGGCTGGAGATATTTTGTTTCCACTTCGAAAAGGATACACACTTGTTCAGTTTGATTAGTAGTTTTCAGGTTAGAATGGAAGAAGAGATGGCGTCAGCTCCAGGAAGTATGAGAACCATGCGCAGGATGCTGCCGCAAGCAGAATTTGCCAAACAACAGGCTGAGGTCATGGCTCACAGGCAGAGTTAATGCCAGGCTACAAACAGCAACCCGGCAGCATCCGCTTCACACCAAACTCCTCCCCACCCAGAGCTCCCAATACTCGAGGAGACAACAACTGTCCAGGAAGATACAACATCCCAACGGGGCTGGCTCTGCCCCCAAGTCTTACTCAACTGCAAGGCTCCCATGCCCACCAATCTATCGGGATTCTCCCTTTGAGTTTCGAGGTGGTACCCACAGGCGCTAAAAGTGAGCATAGCTAGAAAAGCGTGTTCAATGAAGACTCACGGCGTGAAAACTCATTCCGGACATAGAGGGATGGATACACATTTCGGCCGGTAACTCTACCGGACCGTTCAAGAGCACACATCGACTGCTTCGTTGGCTCTAGAAAACCCAATAGTGCACCTCCACCTGTTTTCTGATGTCTTGAGGCCAATGGGTTTGACCACGGCCCAGAAAAGCTAGTCATATTCGGCGAACCTTGCTGGGATAGCCCGCAATCGTGGAATGCAAAATTGGAAACTCTGCGAAAAGGAATGGAAAAGATGGCTGAGTGCCTTCGTTGCTCAATACTCCTATAACACACAGATTGAGATCACAATCTCGCGATCTTGAAGTCACCTGCCAAGAGCCAAAAGGAGGTTTCAGAGTTTTGTGACGAGATGGAGAGCAAAGGCCTCGATGATGACTACCAAGGCTTCCGACAAAGACCAGAGTAAGCGGATGGTTGTGCGGGCAACCTCCAACCCAGCTAATGCAAAAAATGATCGTCATACCCCTTCCCACCTTGTGGACTACATGAGATTGGGGTGCAGATTGAGGATGCTATGAAGCAGGGCCTTTATTGACCAGGATAAGGAGCAGACCAGGAGGCGTTTACACGCAGTTTGAATGCGCACCACCAGTATTCTTCTCTT